TTGGCCTTTGAGAAAAAATGTGTCCACGTGGCCGAGGGTTATGCATGTGAAGCAACACATTTAATAAAAACTGAACTGTGATGCTTAGTGTTTTTTTCTCCCACCCCCTACAAAGCTCTAGTGTATGTTCCTGCTGAAATAACGGTCCCGTGTTCGGAGTCCCACTGGAATTTCTCAGAGGGGCTCAGCAGCGGTTCCTGGAGTGCAGGCCGGGGCCCTGATGCGAGCTGGTGGGGGCCCTGGAGAAGCCTGGCTCCTGCTCAGATCACGTCCACCGAAGCCCCTCCCTGGAGGCTTAGGATGAGGCCCCGGCTCCAGAGAGGAGCTCCTGGCTCAAGTTCACTGGCACGCCGAGGAAGCCCGCGCCGGTCGGTCCTTGGCACGTCTCTCTTGCTTTCGTTTCGGCAGCAGAAAAACCCTAGGGCTGTGGGGTTGCTGATGTGTGCGTGTTCGCACGCCACTTTTTCATCATCTTCTCTCTAGATGACAGGAAAAAAGACGCGTTTTAACGGATTTAGCTTTTGTGTTCGGTAGTTTTTTGGAGGTGCAGCAAGTGGACCTATAAAGAAACGAATGAGGCAGCTTCTCACAGATCCCTCAGTGAGCAGGGACAGAGGACACTCCCTGTCCTGGGGCCGGCCTTCCTCCTGTCTCGGCACCTGTGACAATAGCTTCCCCTCTGTTTGAAATGGCCCCACACCCATGGTTTTGTTTATCCAAATTCTTATCTATTCCTATAATTTGGGGAAAAGTTGCCTCTATTTTTTTTTCAGTTTCATGAAGCTTTTTTCTTCACCTTTCTAGGAGAAATCGTATTAAAATACACGCTCTGGAACTTGATATTGAATTTACTGCCACGTTTTTCTATGTTCTCAATGTGCCTTCTATAGGCCCACAAGATACTAAGATCGAGCACGGGCGCCCCAGGTGGTGGCCATCCCCACGGGGTCAGCAGGCGAGGCTTCTGCGTCAGAGGGAAAGTCTCAGGCCTTCCTGGCAAAGCCCCCCTCCCCTGCCAACCCCAGCCCAGGCGCTTTGCTTTTACACCAGCAGCCACCTTTCCCTGATTCCACTGATTTCCAGCGGAATCACGGGGACATCTGTTTTATGACCGCCTCCACAGCGCACAGAGCGGGCGCGTTGCTAACCTGCGTTTGTCAGGTATTTTCATGCACATCAACAGGAAACTCGAGCCCTTCATAATGCTCCTTAAACTGTTTTCCTCTGTGAGCGGTATTTTACTTGGATTAGAATGGAATGAAACTTTGTGAATATGACATTAAGGAATAGTAAAAGATTATTTACTTTATGGTATAATTAGCACTTGAAATCAGGATACACGTATACTTAGTAAAACTATGTATACTCTAAATAAGATGTAAATCCTTGCATTGCATTGTTTTACGTCTTAGAGTTATGCGGTGCAAACGGATAAAGCCCATGCTAACTGAGCCAATAGCGCAATACAGACATTCTGAGTGAAAGGCATGCTTCCTTCTGGCTGTCGACAGCAGAAATAAATATTTAAAAGTCTCATGACTTTGACAAATGCATTAAAAATCCATTAATCTGACAAACAGCATCTTTTCCCTGATAAATTACAAATTTCCAAATACGATAAAAGGCATAATTCATGGAAAGCACGTTACCGTAAAGCCACCGGACAGTAATGGGTTTTCTCATTTCCTCCTTTTATTCAACAAGTAATCGTTGGTGTCCACTGTATACCAGACACTGCGGCTGCTTCGCAGTCTGGCGGTGGGGTTCCAGCAAGAAAAGAGAGGTGCAGGGTGGCCCGTGGTCAGTATCAGGATAGGGGACACGCAGTGAACTGGGGGAGCCCGGCGGCGGGGAGCGTGGCCCAGACCTGGGCGAGGAGCCCCCGGGCATCCAAGCGGTTCCAGGGAAGCGGGTGGCAGGAGTGTTTCACGCAGAAGGAACGTGGGAAACTGGGAGGCAGAGGGTGAGAGAGACGCGTGAGGACCAGAGAAGGCTCGCGGGGCTGGAGAGCCGAGCCGGTGCGGGCGACAGGAGGGATGGTTAGCAAGGTCGAGGCCGGGAGGCCCAGTTAGGAAAGTTCTTGGGAAACCTGTGGAGCTTGGCTTGATTCACAGGAGCTGTGGGCACCCCCGGAAGGGTGTGTGGATGGGCGTATCTGCTTATGTGCTTTTAATACAAGGGAACTTTATAGTTAAATTGAGGGGGGGAATCATTGACTGCTGAATGTATTGAAGGGGAGTAAGATAGGAGCTGGGGGGGGGGGGTTAATTAGGAGTCGGTGACAGTAATTCCTGTAAAGGACAATGATGGACTCAACTGACTAGGTGCCATGGGATGGAGGGAAAGCAGAGGGTTACAGTCAACGGGGCTCGGTCTGTTTTGTACAAGAGGCAGAGCAGGTTTCAAGGCTTCCCTCACGCACTTCATACCC